CCCTGGTGGACCTGAGTAGTATGTCAGCGAACTGCATCCTCGCCATCGAATATATCCAGGACTTACCAAAGGAGTAGACACGGGTATCATCTGCCTCTTATACCTCGTCTGCACAACCGGTGCATTGATCCCCTCCACCGAATCGCTCAGCTTGTGGAAATCACTGCTAATCAACTTGTGGTTTGGAAATTTCTCATATAGCATGTAGAAGAATTGCATCAGCCGCGTGGGAATGTACTCGGGCTGACTCATGTTTGAGTGCCATGGCACCAGACTTCTTAGATTCTGCATCATGCGCGAGCCTTGCAAGGGGTGTGGATACGATTTACACGCCGCGTGTCTGCGCTCGAGGAACCGGCTTGCGACAGGGTCTAGCGTGCGAGAGTAGTATTCGAAGAGTTCGCCGCGGGGGTCGACGACGACGTGGGATTGGTAGGGTGCGCCGGTTTCGAAGTCGTATTTGAGGGCGTCGTGGGCAAAGTTGTCAAAGACTTCGAGCGCGAGGAAGTAGCAGGGTGATGAGACGTATTGGTCCCAGTCGAAGATACTGCGGTTGACGATTTCGACTTTGTCCGAGTGCCCTCGTGCGTAGGCGGAGTGTCCTAGGCCTTTTTGCTGCAGGTCTGCGAGTTGGCTGGAGATTTCAATGATGCGGAACTTGGTGCGCTCGTAGACTTCTGGATATACGTCCCGGATGAAGTCGAGAATATTCAACATCATGGTACCGTTTCCTGCGCCCATCTCGTAGATATTCAGGTCGTGGTATGGGTAGAAGTTGTACTTGTAGTCCTCCACGAGGTATCGCGCAATCGCCTCGCCGTAGTAGGGCGAGAAGAGTTCGGTAGGCGTGTGCCATAGCTGGCGCAAGTCGTTGGGTTCTTGGAGGTCGAGAGCGTCCTCAAAGTCTGTGTAGCGGTGTCGCAGTTGCTGGAAGAAGTCGTGCTCCGAGCCCATTGCGTTGAAATTGAAGGGATCGCCGGGCGAGAAGATGACGACCTGCTTGGAGAAGTAGCCGTAGTTTGGATTGTAGAGGCTGTCCTCTATAAAGTCGCGCAACAGCATCTTGACTCTCCGCGGTCGTTCCCGCCTACTCCGCAACATGTCTGCCGTGACCATGGGGTATCTTTCGAACTCCTCGGTCCTCTCATGTGGGAATGCATTCTTCCTCGGCGTCCATCTGCTTTCCCTCGTTGTCTCGCCGTCACCTAACCGGCTGGCCTTGCCTCGTGCCTGGAATTGCGGAGCGCGCGCAGCAGCGAGAGCAGGGCGAGCTCCACGTGCAAGGCATTGCGATGCTCGATGCGAGAAGAGCTGGCGAAAAAGCTGGGTAACAAGAGGCGAGTCCATTGACGCCTGCTGAACCACCTCGGAAAGGGTTGCGACGCTGAAGCTGCTGTTCATCACATGTGGGTCCTTTGCGGGCATGTTCGTTGCCAAGACGCGGGCATCGTCAAAGCTCCGCGGTACCTGACCATTTCCCATCCACTCCGACTCGACATGCTCCAATGTCCGGCTACACTAGGTATCATGTCCTAGGCGCTCTGGTTGCTGGTATAGCACTGAGCGCTGCATACCAGCAATGGACGAGGAGCCAGATTCTAAAACATGACAACACCGAAAACCTACTCAAGCAACAGCACAGACTACTGTCTAAACTTGCAAAGATCAATGATCTCGACGCTTTGAAGAAGAGTCTGTCAGAAATCGAGACTGAGTTTCAACGTGGGGCGGGAAGCATCAGAGAGGGCATTGAAGGTTGTATTGGCGGCACTCCCCTCATCAAGATCAAATCACTATCCGAATTCACAGGATGTGAAATTCTGGCCAAGGCAGAGGTAGAGCCGCCATGTCTGCACGGTCAAACGTCTGCTAATGTGGCGTGAGTTTCTCAACGGTGCAGGCAACAGCCCAAAAGATCGGGTAGCACTGAGCATCATTGAAATGGTACATCCATGCCATTGATAGGCATATCAACATCTAACAAGACCAGGCTGAAGAGAAAGGCCTCCTGATACCGCATTCTGGCGACACTATCTATGAAGGCACAGTGGGAAGTACTGGAATCTCACTGGCTGCCATTTGCAGAGCACGAGGATACAAAGCGCACATGTGAGTTGTCCGCGTGATATACACGATCCGTTTTTGACAGCCAACAGCTGCATGCCAAACGACATGGCAGTCGAGAAGTCAGATCTACTGCTGAAGCTTGGCGCAGAGGTAGAAAGAGTGCGTCCTGCGCCAATCGTCGACCAGAAGCAGTTCGTCAATCTGGCTCGCACAAGAGCTAGTGAACACACTGCAAGCTCTGACAAACCTGGACGTGGACTTTTCGCTGACCAATTCGAGACTGAAGCGAACTGGCGTGCACACTTCACTGGAACCGGACCAGAGATTCACAAACAGACTGGTGGCTACTTAGATGCCTTTGTAAGCGGTGCAGGTACTGGAGGTACCATCTCGGGCGTTGCCATGTACCTGAAATCGAAATTGCCTAACGTCAGAGTTGTGCTCGCCGATCCTCCAGGGAGTGGCTTGTTCAACCGCATCAAGTATGGTGTGATGTTTGACCCAAAAGAAAGAGAAGGTACTCGCCGGAGGCATCAGGTTGATACTATTGTTGAAGGCATAGGTATCAATCGTGTGACGCACAATTTCGACGTGGGTCGCGAGCTCATTGACGATGCGATCAGAGTCAGTGATGACCAAGCAATCGCAATGGCGCGTTGGCTGGTCGAACATGATGGGATATTCGTTGGCAGCTCCAGTGCTGTCAACTGTGAGTTGCGCGCTTCATGTCGAAATTGTTGGCACTGACAGACTACAGGCGTGGCAGCCACCAAACTCGCAAAGACACTTGGCCCCGGACATCGCGTCGTTACAATACTATGTGATAGGTAAGACCACTAGAGTACACTCAAGAAAGGTTGCTAAATGATTCAAAGCGGCGCGAGACATTTGAGCAAGTTTTGGAAGAGCACTGAACCCGTCGGTGGCGCAGAGAACGATGTGTCTCTCCAGGCCATTCTCGACGCCTGAGACATACCTAATCGTCACTAACGACTAGTCACTCCTCTAACTCTGCAACTCACATCCCCATCCGCATCAGCCAGCCACAACCTCGACTGGAAACGGGTGTCGGTGACACTCTCATCGCGATGTGCTGAAACACATGCTTGAACAACCACACGCCGATTGTGAAAGATGTGGCAGCGGTGCACAATGTCACTACAAGGACACCACCACCACTTGCAAAATGAAGGACAAGCATCGAGATTTGCGCTTCTTCATGTCCATAGAAGATGTCACATTGTGCGGAACTTCCTACGAGCGTCGAGAACACAATGGCCACAGTATGAAGAGAGACAAAGATCTCGCTCTTCACAGTCATAATTACGATGTCTTACGCTTCGTAACAAAGAGCAAAGCTCCAACAATACCGATTCTCTTCTGACACAGGCTTTGTGCGTTTGCGCACTCTTTATAATATTCCCACGATCCTCAACCCTGCACTTTGCTGCACCTCCCACGCCTACCTAACCACAGAATATCTCGCTTGCCGCAGCAAACCCGTCGTCAAATTCTTTCCAACAAACCTTCATCCACGTGTCGTTTCACACCACCTACTGCGGAGACTAGTCCGGACGCAGGCGAAGAGAAGCAGAACAAGTCATACTTTATGCCTCCCCCACGCAGAAGCTCCACAAACGGCATCAACAAGAAGGCAAACAAGCGAAAACCATCGCACCTCCTCTCCCGCAGGCTATCTGCCAGAATGGCCCCAAGCACACGTAGTCCCACAATCGCCCACAAAATCTCCCAAATGCGCCTCACCATCGCCCCCATAGTACATGTCGAAACGGGCAAGCCCGCCCCAGACTTTCCCTCCACAATGCTGGAACTCTTCCTCCTTACAGAAGACCAACTCGACGCCCTGGCACAATACTACAATCAGACTACCCCCACGGCACTAACGCATCAATATCCCCAGACTATGAGATGGGATCTTCCCTTCTTGAACAACGATCCTGCGTTACCGGAGCACTGTAGGCTGAACGAGCTGGAGCGATTGAAAGTCAAGATGAGGATGTTCGCACGGTTTATTGGGATGAGGGGCGCGGATACGCCGCGCTGGGAGTATGAGCGCCAAGTGGAGATTTTGCAGAATAAGATTGAGAAGAGCGTTCAGGATGAGGAGGTTACGTTGAGGAAGTTTGGATGGGGTCCTAGTAGACGAGCATAGTACTTTTGCGGTAGGGATAGCGGGAGGAGAGAAGGGAGCATTCATTCGATTGTCGATTCAGCGAGCATAGCGAGATTTTGAATGCATCTTCGTTCACATCTGTCTTTCAGCTCATGGGTACGCATAGTGAGTGACGTTAGTCCTGCAATAGGTGGAAACGGAAAAAATGGCTGGTCGTAGAGCTTGAGGTGTTGTTTACATGACGATCGCGATGCAAAATGATCTATGTTGAATGTGGGTAGCCTGAATACAAAAGATTATTTTTATTGTGTCCACCACTCACATTAACAGCATATTGTGTGAGCCTATACAGTAGCAGGAAAGTAATAAAAAGTATAGCAAGCTACTATATTATATCTCTACTACTTTTAGAGAATACGTTTAATATCTAAGAACTCTTAGTAGCACTTTAGTATGCTGTGGTGGTTACCGTCACGGATTAAACCTAGGATCGCCCGTGCCTTTACTTACAGTTACAGTGAGCAACCACTGTAATTACTTCTGGCGACTTAATCACTACGAGCTTATTTGTAGGTAGTTCAAGTACTCTAGGATCCTGTTCAGACAAAAGAAATATACATTCCTTGACCAAATATCAAAATTCAAAACTTAGCACCTACCTACCCACACATTACACACACATGAACAAAGTTACTAGTGAGGATTCAAGAGCAAAAAGGAGAGCCGGAAAAGGCGGATCTAGTCCTGGTGGGGTCTACGTACAACTGTTAGTCTTACAATTTAACCACACCAAGACCAAGGATTTCACACGTACTCGAACCCACGACATTCGCATTACTTGAATGAAGAGTCATACACTCCATCACGTGACGGCGAGTATAAGAACGACGCGCTACCACTGCGCCACAGGACTTTTGAAATCCCTTGGACTATTTCTTTTGGAGTTTTCTGAAGTTGGATATCTTATAATGAAGTTTTGGAAAGATTCCGGGACGCTACGTGGACATTCTGACTCATCAATCCGTTTCTGGCATGTGACAAACAAGGAAAACATTTTGGAGGGGTAAAAACGAATGTGCGGTGACGGGATTACAGGTGGTGGGTCACTAAAGGCGGGGGCTGGGGGCCGGGAGGGGGTGGCCAACGCGTACTTAATGGGGTTCGCTAGCACCGATCATCTTGACACTTTTAGAACACCATTCAACAATACACGAGATACCACTGGAATTGAAAAGGGAACTGGTGACCATTAAGTTTTATAATCGTGGTATGTCTTCCCTTGGCCTTAGTTCGTGAACGGGAACTCCCACTTCCTCGAGCTCCGGGGAGCGATACTGTCTACTTTGCAATCCGTCAATATCTTTCTGCATTCTCCAATGGTAGTGGAAATCGTATCGTCACGACTGTTTTTCTCCTCGTCACAGTTTGGATCTGGTCGCGACGTTGCGACTTCATGAGAAATGGCCTACTTCGTTCCAGCAGAGGCTCTTCTGCCCAGCCCATGAATATCCCATCATTGAACACATTCCATTCTCACTTAAATGCCTTAAAGCTGTCGTATGGACAGGCCTGCGCGTGGTACACGAACACTTCCTCGCCATGCCCATGATATCCATCCATCATCTATCAAGTCACCGAAACAGCGGTGTCCAATACGACCGTAAATCTTGCTGACGTCGCATATTCTAGTAATTCCACCATGACCATCAAAGCGACAAAGTTCGACCCAAAAGTCCTCTTAGAAGCACCGCGACGGTCAGAGGGCCGCCCGAATTCTGACGCGTCCAAAATCCTATACAGCGTTTCCACATATAGCTTCTCCGAACATGCCAAGAAGTCTGAGATTCGCATCTTAGATGCTGAATCTCGACAGACTACCCTTATCACTGACAAGACATCTGCGAGTGAAGCTACTTGGCTGGACGATGGCACTGTTGTGCTTTTGAACTCGAACGAGGATGGAACGACGGACGTGGTAATTGGCGATGCTGGAAATTTTGAGAGCAGGTATGATGAATTGGCAATAGTTTTGGAGACTGTGACTGATGCCGCTTTAGCAAGTACACAGCCGGTAGCATTAAAGGACCTGTAGGCGATCTCAAGATTCACTCTCTCAGTGAAACTGAATGGGCTTTCGCCGTCTCCGGCAAAGCTAAGCCTGATGGTACGCTGTTCAACCCAGAGAAGGCCGAGAAGTCTCTTTCGTCCGGAAAGCTCTACAAATCGGGCTTCGTACGACACTGGGATCACTACGTTACCGAAAATCGCAATGCATTGTGGCTGGGCAAACTCTCCGAGAAGAAGGGCAAGCTGCAGCTTTCAAGTCTGACGAATGCTCTTCACGGGTCAAAGCTGGAAAGTCCGATTGAGCCGTTCGGTGGCAAAGACCACTTCGATGTATCAAAGTATGGACTCGTGTTTACTTCCAAGGACCCTGATCTCAACCCGGCTACGCATACCAAGACGAATATCTACATTGCAGCATCTGAAAGCTTCTGGGAAGATTTGGGATCCAAGGGTACTCTCAAGATCGAGAAGGTGGTCATCGAGGGCTTTGAAGGAGCGAGCACAAGTCCAACTTGGTCAAACTCTGGAAAGATGATCGCGTTCCTCTCTATGAAGAGGGATGGGTATGAGTCGGACAAGAATCAAGTTTTCATCATGCATGACTGGCAGAAGCCATCGCAACTTACCCCACTATATGCTTCGGAGGACGGCAAGGGCAAGTGGGACCAAAGCCCTCAGTCCATCGCATGGAGCCCTGATGACTGGACTCTGTTTTTCACCGCCGAAGCATATGGACGTAGCAATCTCTACGCTGCTGGCCCGCCAAAGCCTGATAGTGATATGGTGCATTTCCCACGCCTCCTTGTTCAAGGTGGAACCATCACGGCAGCACAAGTTCTAAAGGATGGCGACATATTCCTCACATCTACCAGTCTCATTGAGAATAGTCTCTACTCTCTCGTTCCTTTGAGTGCGCGAAGCGACAAAACAGAGGAAACATCGTACACGCTACCCATCGACGATCGTCCCTACAACTCCAATCCAGACTGTCTCACGACCAAGTACATATCGTCCAACACGCGTTCAGGCTCCATGTTTGGACTCTCCCGCCACCAAATCGGTCAGTTCTTTTACGATGGAGCAGGCAAAGATACACGAGTCCACGCCTGGGTCGTCAAACCTAGCAACTTCTCTCCAGACAAAACATACCCACTCGCTTACCTCATCCACGGCGGTCCCCAGGGTGCATGGACCGATGGCTGGAGCACGCGCTGGAACCCCGCAGTCTTCGCAGAGCAAGGCTATGTAGTCGTCTGCCCCAATCCCACGGGAAGTACCAGCTACGGGCAAGACTTTGTGGATGCTATCCAAGGCCAGTGGGGCGGACTGCCATACGAAGACATTGTGTTGGGATTCGAATATATTGAGAAGAACCTCGACTACGTCGACACTAAGCGCGCTGTTGCACTCGGTGCATCGTATGGCGGGTACATGATGAACTGGATCCAAGGCCACCCCCTCGGCCGCAAATTCAAAGCCCTCGTCACGCACGACGGCGTCTTCAGCATGACGGGCCAAATGGCATCGGAAGAATTGTACTTTCCTTTCCACGACCTCAAGGGGAAACTGTGGGATAATCCCGAGGGTTGGGCGAAGTGGGATCCTTCGCGATTTGTGCAGCATTGGGATACACCGCATTTGATTATTCATAGCGAGTTGGACTATAGGCTGACGATTAGTGAAGGACTGGCTGCATTCAATGTGCTACAGTCGAGAGGGGTCGAGAGCCAGTTTTTGACGTTCCCGGATGAGAATCATTGGGTGTTGAAGCCGGAGAATGGGTTGATGTGGCATGAGGTTGTGTTGGATTGGATCAATGAGCATGTAGGGTTGGAGAAGTACACTGAGAGTAGGAAAGCGTAGAGGAGAGAGTGGAAGCTTTGCCGTAGACTCAAATGTGGAAAAGAAAAGAAGCTACAGAACATGAAGAATGATTAACTCGCGAGGGAATTTGGCTCTTTAGATGCATCACTTCCAATGTAAGACTTTACAAAAGGTTGCACCGAGGCGGCGAGGCTGACGGCAGGCGCGGCGCGTTACTCTTATCGATAAGCCGCCAAAATAATTCTTCGGCGCAGCTCACGACTGGAACCTCGAGAACCGCGCGACGTGCAACCTACCAAGACCAGCGTCTTTGCCATTGCAACTCCCCAAAACCGTTTCACATCTTCTTGCGACTCACACTGTCCGGTTTTTGCACTTGCGCCGCCACGTTAGAGTCTGTTAGCGGAGAAGAGGCGGGGAAGCCAACGGAGCTGTCAAGATGCCCAAGAAAGCAATGTAGGTGTTATCGCAATAATACGACAGACTGATAGACTCACACAATTCCAGTGACTCCCGTATACCGGCATTGATCCGCAATGGCGCTCAGGTATGGTCAACTTACCAACGGTAATTGTGCAGGTTAGCTTACAATCCCGTAGGAGAAGAAACGCAGCTTCTTCGTCGTCGTCGGCGATCGCCAAAAGGACGTCATTGTCAACCTCTACCACATCCTACTCAATGTAGACGTCAAGCTCAACAAGTCGGTGCTATGGGCCTACAAGAACAAGTTGCTGGGCTTCTCAAGGTGCGCCGCGAAACAGCCCCATTTGCGCGCGCAGGCTAACAAGACTCCTGCAGTCACCGACAAAAGCGCGAGAAGAAGATCAAAAACGAGATTAAGCGCGGCATCCGCGACGTCGATACCGAAGACCCCTTTGAGCTGTTCGTGTCGACGCAGAACATTCGCTATGTCTACTACAAGGAGACGGAGAAGATTCTGGGAAACACGTACGGCATTTGCATTCTCCAGGACTTCGAGGCGCTCACACCAAACCTACTCGCGCGCACCATTGAGACGGTCGAAGGTGGAGGATTGGTCATTCTGTTGCTGAAGGGCATGAGCAGCTTGAAGCAGCTATACACATTGTCCATGGACATTCACTCGCGATACCGGACCGAGGCGCATAGCGACGTGGTGGCGCGCTTCAACGAGCGCTTTATTCTATCCCTCGGCAAATGCGACAGCTGTTTGGTCGTGGACGACGAGCTCAACGTACTCCCAATCTCAGGCGGAAAGCACGTCAAGCAGCTTGCGCCACCAGACCCAGAGTTGGAAGGAAAGACACCCAAGGCGAAAGAGCTGGCAGAGATCAAGGAGTCGCTGGCAGACTCGCCGCCCGTAGGCGATCTCGTAAAACTTGCAAAGACGGTGGACCAGGCGAAGGCGCTCCTGACGTTCGTTGATGCAATCGTGCAGAAGACGCTACGGAGTACAGTGGCATTGACGGCAGCTCGTGGACGAGGAAAGTCTGCAGCTCTGGGTGTAGCAGTCGCCGCGGCGGTTGCGCACGGCTACAGCAACATCTTCATCACGTCTCCCAGCCCAGAGAACCTGAAGACCCTCTTCGAATTCGTCCTCAAGGGATTCGATGCGCTAGGATATGTGGATCACCAGGATTACAGCATTATGCAGTCGACACAGCCCGATCAGAACAAGGTTATTGTGCGGATCGATCTCCACCGCCAACATCGACAAATCATCCAGTACATGAAGCCAGAGGACTCGCATATTCTTGGACAGGCAGAACTACTGGTTATTGATGAGGCTGCGGCAATCCCTCTGCCCCTAGTGCGGAAACTGATGGGACCGTACTTGGTGTTCATGGCATCCACCATCAATGGTTATGAGGGTACTGGTCGATCGCTATCGCTAAAGCTCATTCAACAACTCCGCGAGCAATCTCGTGGCAAGTCAGGTGGTGGCTCTACCCAAGTTGTGGATCGTTCAACCGGAAAAGAGACCAAAGATGGAAACGAGACCTCCATGGCCGGCCGCTCACTACGCGAGATCACACTGTCAGAACCCATTCG